AGGTGGTACCAAAGGAATAGTTCTCACTTCTGTCACTCTTTGTTCCTTCATGGCCTCTATTTCATTTGCAAGGGGAAGTCTTCTGGCTAACTAACATATTGGAAATAATGGCTGGAGACGGCTTTAATGGGGAATGAAGAAAAACTTTAATATAAGTTTAACATGACAGCAAATGTACAACGTTTCGACAAGGTTTTGTCATCGAATTTGAATATTGGAAATGCATTTCCGGTATCAATCTTTTGATATATCTTATTTGTTCATCCTAAGACATGAGGTTCAGTGGAGGAAGTGTCTTGATATTTCATGAGCAAGCTATTAACTGCTGACACTGATGAGCTGTGAGACCTTCACAGCTCCGGCCATACAACTCTTCTAAGTAAGGTGTAAAGCTATCCTTATGTAAGGGTTTGATATCAGACTTTCCGCACCTTTTCTCAAAGGCGACTACTTTTGACGTTCTTTGATATAGAAGTACTACCAGTTCAGCCTCGTATCTTGCAATGTTCCATCCAGATTTTACTGGAATTTTATGATTTACTGTGTTTATGGCTCTAATGATGACATCTTTATTTTTCAGATTCACGAGAATTCTGACAGCCATTAATCCACCAGGACACTGGAGTGTTTGATTCTAAAGTAGCCCTATCACTAGATGTAAATTTATTTTTAACAAGTCCTAATATGAGTATTTCACTTCTTGGTTATACAATAACTGCTCTCTTTGTTATCACGGGAAGTTCAAATTCTTGTATAGTAATGATCATGTAGTGCAGAGGGATTTTCTGGTCATAGACTGATAAGCTATCTGAAGGTAGCCTCACTCACATCCATATTTCCACATGCAATCAGTTCTCAATGTGCACTCTTCCTCGATGTCAATTACTCACACACCATGAAGCATAGAAGAGTATTCTACAGTAAGAGTAACTTCTAATTTTCCTCTTGCTGGAACCTTACACTCAGTTGCTATTCACATCACTCCCTTTTCTTTTGTCACATCTGGAGGCAGTTTACTACCTTTCATTACTAAATTGGACCAGACTATTGTAGCTGTAGAACATTATTAATAACATACAGCATGACTTCCCATAAATAAATTCGTGGACTTGTGAACTGGTTTCTTTAAATAATTAAACGCGTATCTCATTTGGGGCAGATGGGGTATTCTCGACTAACCTTTGCTCCATAAGTCCAGCTAAGTTTAAACATACTATGGTGCGGTCCTTTTCAGGGTTGGGATCTATGGATTCAAATCTCGATGAAAATTTCACTGTGGAGGGTGGGACAGGATTAACCCGAGAAAAACCCACTTTCACTGGTAGAGCACCAGATATTCTACCCTCCCAGTGCAGAGGCTGTAAGGAAGATCAGGACATGTGTGATTAGACATTATCATTCATGGCGTGTATTATATATAGAGAGGTGAGAGGTATCGTTGCTAAGTTTCGGGGGTAGTGGCTAGTGATGGAAATTAATTTGTCAGTTCAGTACGGTTTATTCATTTTTTAAAGTATCTACTCGCGAGTGTTTTCTGATATCAGGTATCTCGCTTACTTTCTCTAGGTATTCCTGTGGCGTGTATCGTGGGAGACGATATGCTATCCTGATTGCTTGATTTTGTGTATTTTGAATTATTGTTTTTGCCCGGCATCCTTTAACTATACCTCCTATCTTTATTAGGTAATGAATTATTTTGGAGACTTTATTCATTATAATGTTATAGTGGTCTGACCATGTTAGTTTATTATTGTATGTAATTCCTAGAAATTTCGCTGTCCTTGAAAATTTTAGTTCTGTGTCGTACATTTTTATTTCAACTTTGGGATACTTTCTTTTAAGAGATATCTTTGCCCGAGTGTTCGTTGTGTTAAATGCCACTCTTTATGTGTTACACCAGTCTGTAATACTGTTAAGAGAGGTTTAAACTTTAAAAGTTGCTGGTAGGGGTTCTCGAGATGTACTCCAGACGGCGATGTCGTTGTCATATTGAGAAGAATGTGTATATGTTAGTTTTGGGAATGGTATGTCGTAACAAACAGAATATACAGGAAGGGACTAAGTACAGACCCTTGAAGTACACCTGCCGATAATGTTACTGGGTCAGATATGGCATTACTGATTTTAACCCTGGCTGTTCTGTCTGATAGGAAACTTGAAATCCATCTTGTTATTACGAGTGGAAAGTTAAATTGAAGTAGTTTATACCTTGATCCTTGATGCCACATATATACCGAGTCAAAAGCCTGCTTAACATCTAGAAAAAGGCCTACGATAGTATGATTTTTGTTGGATCCCTGAATAATTGATTCTGTTAACCTGGTTAAATGATGAGATGTTTGTTTTTGCGTGATGCATTCTGTATCCTGACAAAAGTATAATTATTTACCATAATAAACGAGTTGTTATTATTTTTTCTAGGAGCTTGCCTGTACTGTTGAAAAGACTTATTAGTCTATAAACCTTAGGATATTTGGTGCTGGATTGGTTTTCGGCAAGGTTTTAAACATTGCTGATTTCCGTTGAGAGGGGTGGTACCCAGAATTTAAGGAAACGTTGAAGAGGGCTATTAAATGTTGTATTATGGATTCTGATGCATTTTTAAATAATATTTCTGATTCCATCTTCACCTGGTGCAGTGTTCTTTAGCGTTTTGATTAGTCTTTTAACTTCTGTTTGTGTAATCGGTTTCGTGATGAATTCTGTGTCTGTTGAGCATCTTGAGGTGTTGTTTTCTGTTGTGCGCAGGAAATGTGGCTGGAATAGTTGTGTATTATTATTAATAAATTGTTCTGCATTGTTAAAGTGTTGATTATCCAAATGTAGGGAATTTGGAGTTCTTGTTTGTAATAGTCTGCTAATAAGTTTGCTTGCTCTTGGTCGGAAGTTGCTGTTTTATTATTATGTTCTAGGCTAGGTATATTTTTAGCGGACTTTTCACTACATATAGCTTTAAGTTTCTTCCAGAAGAGGGCTGAGTCTTGATGAGATTTACCTAGTGACGCGCAGTAGTCTGCCTAACTACTTTCTTATTGTTTGTGTATTAGATTTTTGATCTGGTTATTTAATCGGTTAACATTTGATTTAACCTGCGGGTCATAAGAGCTAATAAACTGTTTTCTCAGCATGCGTCTTTCATTAATTAGTTCATGAAGTTCTTTCGTTAGCTGCCAGGAGTTGGAATGTATGTTTCCGGCTTGTTTTGGAACTATTGTTTCTGTTGTATTAATTGTATTACCAGGTTATGTTGCATTATGAAATCATTTAATATTCTACCATTACAATTAGTTGTTCTACAGTTAACATTTTTCTCTTTAGAGTTTAAATCTCCAATAATTATTGTACGAGGGTTTTGGTTGGTGACATTTTGTAGCAGGTTTATGTCATGGGTCGTTGTTGGGGGTACATATAACGTTAAGATGGATATTTTGGGACTGTTAAGAGGTTGTAATTCGCAAAGTATATATTCGTTATGAGAGTATATATTTAAAGTGGGAAACGATACATTTAGACTATGAGTGCGTAACATTGTAATACCCCTACTGTCAGATCCTTTAAACTTAGAAATACTAAAGTATCCATGAATATAATTTTTTTTATTATTGTTAAGCATAGTTTCACTTATTGCTATTACATCTATATATTCTTTTTTACACAGATTATATTTCTTGTGGTTTAACTCGCCCTGAACGTTAACAGATAATACATTTAACAACGCCCCCAGTGGCACAGCGGTATGTCTGCGGACTTACAACGCTAGAAACCGGGTTTCGATACCCGTGGTGGGCAGAGCACAGATAGCCCATTGTGTAGATTTGTGCATAAATGCAAACAAACAAACAAAAAATTTAACAACATACATGATCATTCTCCTGGAGTATCCTAGCGAAGACGTAGTTTCTAAGCGACTCGAACTCGCTAGTCTGGAAGCCGAAGTAATATGGTGCAGACCTGAAGATGTCCTAGATCATCTCGTCACTGTTGAGGATGCCACCGGACGTTGCTTTGAGAACTACATCGGTGACGAAGAATATAATCCTTTGGATCAATACACGGTGTGTGTGTGTGCATTGATTGTGCTGTTGGTCATGGGTTTCTGGTAACTTCAGCATAGGATCTGTTCTGTACCTGGTTCGTTGTGAAGTTGGTTTTCTTGTTGGTACTGCAGGATAGATCAGCTGGCGTATCTGCTGAGTGTTGTTCGGGTCTCGTGAATTATTGTCGTTACTGGCAGGTGGCGTTTCCATGGAATGTGGCTGTGCTGAAAGTCGTTTCATTGGGATCAACTTGTTCCTCTTGAGTGTAATCACCTGGTCATATTAGGGACATCCCCTATACGAAGCGATCATCCATAGTTGCAAAAGCAAGTTTCTTCTCGCTTCTTGGGGCAGTCTGCTAGCTGGTGTAGTCCGCTGCATCTAACGTGCCTTGAAGACGCTGTACAGGCTGCACGGGTGTGGCGAAACTTTTGAGAATTGAAGCACTTTGATGGGCGCCGACTGCTTAGATTCTTCGACTGGGTGTCGTTGAAATCATAGAGTGATGTCTTCCATGATGATACTATTTGCCTGGGTGACGTCCTTGGTTGTGGTTCGGACTAGTGGTGTTAGTTAACCGGTCTTGAATGACTTGATCTTATCCACATTAATTCTTTCTATACCTTGGCTGTGTAGATTTTCTTTAATCTCCTCCGAGCTGATGACTCTGTCTACCGCTCGGATGACTACGGTCTTGGTTGGAACAGGTTCGCCTGGGACGTGGATGGTTAGTGTCGCTGCTCCGAAGACTTTGGCTGGCCAGGGCTTGAGGAGTTTGACCTAGTCCTTGGGGTGTTGGCACTTGACCACAAGTCCTCCTCAGGCTAATCGTCGGACTGCCGAGAAAGTCGTTGACGGGCAATCTCTGGCTGGCGATAGGTCGCTGGAATCCCTTCTACTATGATGGCTAGAGGTGGAGCTGGCTGCTTCTTCTGCGACGACTCCAGAGTGGCTTGTTTCTGGCTGCTAGGTTCAGTGATGGACTTGTCATCTTGCGGTTCGGGTGAGGGCTTGTTCTTGCCCGTGGGCTTTTCCAGTGTCTTCATGGACAAGTCCTGGCTGCTAGTCGAAGTGTTTCCTGTTTCAAGATCGTCTAGATATGCTGTTACTTCCGAGTCAGACATTTCCTCGGCTATTGTGGATAGAAGCTGGAACTGGGAAGAAGTAGATAACGGCGGATCGCCGGCTCTCGTTCTTATGATCCTAGAAATGTTATATTAATATCCCAGAAAAAGGCTGGTTGATTCAAAAATACACAGTTCTAAAAAGAAACGACTTAGATGTGAAAATAAAGTATTAATTCGTTTGTATCGAATTGACTTACCTAACTTAATTCTTCAGTACTTACCTTTTTTGAAAATTACCTGAAGTCAAGAGCGATCCGAAAATACGTCTTATTTCTTAGAAGAACACTTCCAAAAACCGCTTGTGACCCTCGAAAAATTCCACTCCGTCGTAGAAAGCTTTTAAATACATAGCGACATATACATATTATATATATATATATACACACATAAACTGTACAATATTACCTTCCGTTAGCGTGATGCATACCACAGTGACACATATACATATTTTTTCAATGTTTAATGTTAGTGGGAAAACAATCCTCTTCAGGACTACGTAGATTGTAGGTTAAACTAGTATACAGATGTGAATTACTGGCACTTGTGTAATATTTAAAATTATAGTGAATAACTATAAACAACTTTTCCTATTTACACAATTTAAAACTTTCATGAAGACGTACGTACGTACGGCTTCCACTTTAAAATGACACTCAACATGTACAAGTTTCAATATGATCTACGTCATCTTCAGGAGTTACTTACAAGACATACTTTATACTTTTACTTCTTTTCGCATTGCTTCACTATTTTTTACATAATTCCTTGGTCTACTTTTTGTATAATTATTTTAATATATCTCGCCATATACCAACATATTGACTTGCAGGTCCTTCGTCTCTATTTAATATTACTTTTTGTTTTTAAACTTCACGAACAAAATTAAATGTATCGCTTTTTTTTCAAATGGAAAAGCTGAAATTTTAGCCACTTAAAATACGACTTTTTTCTGTGGATTTGGAGTTTTATGGATAGTAACTTCCGACAGCATAGGAATGTACTACATTTGAAATTCTTTGCACAATTATTGGAGTTGGGTACAGTACCTAAAAAAAAGACAGTGCAGCTTACTCTGCCTAGAACTTCTGTAAAACACTAACCTTCCTCAAGGATATTATAATGTGGCTATTGTAACTAAAGAAATCCAAGTAAAACAGTCTTACATAAAGTAGCATTGGCTCTTGTATAACAAACTGTCAAACAGTTATCAGTAATTGATTTAACTTTATAGCAAGGAATGAAATTTTCTGTTGAACTGGATGGCTGCACTCGGGGATATATTCTGGAAGTCTATGATGGCCACTTTGTGTTGCCTTCGCTTGGACCAATAGGTAAGTTTCTTTATTTTTTGTCATAGTTAAAGAGAAGATGGATTTATTGTTACAGAAATTATTTAGTTATATAAATGTACAGATACAAAAAGTCGAAAAATTAATAACTACTAAGTTATATTAACAAATGGAGGTTGTGCTAGACTATTGTTACGTTAATATAACGTAGTCGTTATTAATTTTCGACTTTTGTATCTGTAAATTTATATATATAAATAATTTCTGAAACAATAAATTCAGCTTTAGTTTATCAGAACAATACCTTTAATTAATTTCTAAAATATATATCTGAAAGATGTGATAAATTAAAGGTTAGGAGTTATCCAAGGTATCCCGTTGATAAGGTAGGGTTTTTCCAAACACGTAAATAGGTTCAAACTTTCTTACTGGTATAGCGATTACAAAATAACTCTAAGAGCCATAATGATGCCCCCCCCCCCAGTGGCACAGCGGTATGTCTGCGGATTTGCAACGCTAGAAACCGGGTTTCGATACCCGTTGTGGGCAGAGCACAGATAGCCCTTGTGTAGCTTTATGCATAATTACAAACAAACAAGAGCCATAATTGATAATGTCACAAAATAATTTTGGGTAAAAAAAAGTATTACTCAACTTACACGTAGGAAAAAAAATATTTCATATGAATAGATTAACCACAAAAAAAAAGTGTGTGTAAATAGATTGATATACAGATGGGTTGCTTTGATGAATACGTTACAGAATTATTTTTCTCGCGTGCCAAAGTTGATTAGGTATTTTCCTTACTTCAGAACTTTTAACAGTTAACTTCCCCTAGTAAATTGCATTATTTTACTATTGAATTAAAACGTGATAATGAAGACAAATTAGTTCCCACTGCCATTTAATCTTGCTGTATTTCAGTATTTTTTTGTCCCCAACAGTAAATATGTAAAGAATGATTTGAGTGCTTTAATTAACTATGTCATCATTCATAAATGCAGATGTTATTTTGGGCGAAAATTGAGAGGAGCAGGTTCTTTGTGTCTGCAAAACTTGTACCAAGTAATAAATATATCGCGACTGTAACTCATTGTTACAGTTGCATCTTTTCATCTGTATTTCATTGGAATTAAGTTACTTAAAAACATCTGCTACTTATTATAAGAGAAAAAAGATCAATGTTCAATTGAATAATTTCGAATTGATTATTTCAGTGAACATTTTTTATATTTCTCTAGGTGCTAACGGACTGGCTAATCCGCGTGATTTCCTCACTCCAGTTGCTTATTATGAAGACAAGGAGGTGAAAAATTACACAATAATCAATAAGTTTCAAGGACATTTGTTTACTGCCTACCAGGTACAAGTATTTGGTATTATAAGTATATTTTTTGTTATTTTAATATTTAAAAAATAACAACTCGGTTCTAGAAAGAGCTAATAATATTAATCGAATTAAATGTTTTCTCGACATAAATGTCCGTATTGCTTGAAAATCTTAGTTATTGCAAACTGTAGAAGTTAAATAAATAATAATGTAAGTGAACTAATCTCAAAGGGAGATAATGTTAAAATCATTGAAGTTATTAAATAACCTGAATTTTCTTATAAATTATTATTTTTCATTAAGAAACAGAAAATAAGAGAAAGCATAACACTGAAAGAAAGGACCTTCAAACATTAATATGTGTAAATAAAAATAATAATAATTCTAAACTATTTTAATATCTCGCATTATAACATTGAAGAATTAATGCAGTAATTAGAAACCCAGATTTTAATCATACTAAATTTTATTATATTTTGTATAAGATCAGTTAGCTAATTTTCACTTGAGACAAGAAGGGCAAATAGGGTTAAATTTGTATCTTTTAAGTTGGAACCGATCGATAATTATTAAATTTTGCCCTATTTATGTTTTAGTGTATGAGGCTTGTCCACATTTGTTTTATGATTTTTGATAAAATTTCATAAGGATTCTGGCAATAATTTGAGTAATAAGAAAAGTGAATTATTTACAAATACTATTATTTGAATTAGATTAAAACTCCTTTTATTTAGAAATAAACAGACTACTACATTAGGGACAACATTTAAATCTCTAAACATAAGAAACCTAGGTTTAAATATTCGAGACATCAGTTAATTAGCTAAGGAAGTCTAATTTATTTTTCATTAAGAGGACAGCTAATTAATTATATTACTAACCAATACTTGTTTCTATACTCTATAAATTTAAAGCTTCTAACTTAAAATATAAGACTATTCTTTACTTCAACAGCCTTATCTCCTAACGTTTACTGATCATGTATTTAACTTTTAAAAACAAGAATCACACTAAGTGTAGTAACAATAATGATAATGTTTATATATCCTACAAATCTTTACAAACATCTTTTTTTCTCTTTAAACACTGATCTATTTCGTTTAGATGTTTCAACACCGAATATTACTATTATTACAACAAATTCTTTTAGTTAACTGTTAACAGACGTACACATTTAATTTACCTTTCAAGTCTCAACTGTGTACCGTCAAGTACAATATATACAATAGAGTACAAATTTCATGACATTGTTCATGATACACTTCAGAACAATTACACACTGTGGTTATTATATGAGGTTTGGACAATTTTTAATTGCTAATAATTTTTTTTATGTATATAAGGGGGTTTGACAGTAATTAGAAGAGCAATATTTTATTTCGTGCGAATCTATCGAAAATGTTAACAAGAGGTTATTTGCAATGATTCAGCTAATTGTTACAAAAATTATGTAAACGATTTACTGAAATTGTAACCTAAGGACTAATACGCTGTATTTTTGGCTGGACTAACTAATTGATCACCACTAAAGAAACACAAAAGACAACCAGCGAACCCCAGAGGACCATAACAACAAAAGCAAGTATAAAATAACAAAACAAAACTAACTGAAATAACACTATTTTACGAATTTCATCTTTAACGGATCAATCCATGGTTCACTGAAAATTAATATTCGTCAAAACAGCAGTTTGGTTGGCCAGGTATGGCTAGGTGGTTAGGGTGCTCGACTCGCAATCTGCGGTTCGCGGGTTCGAATCCTCGTTCCACCAAACATGCTCGCTCTTTCAGCCGTGGGGCGTATTAACGTGACGGTCAATCCCACTATTCTTTGGTAAAAGAGTAGCCCAAGAGTTGGCGGTGGGTGGTGATAACTAGCTTCCTTCCCTCTAGTCTTACACTGCTAAATTAGGGGCGGCTAGCGCAGATAGCCCTCGTGTAGCTTTGCGAGAAATTCAAAAACAAACAAACAAAGCAGTTTGGTTAATACAAAAATGTTTATTGAATGAGTAACTTAGGATCCTTTTGCACGAGTCATTTTTGGTAATTTAAGGTATTTTAGGACGATTCAATGGACAGCTGAATTTTGTATTTCAAGTTTAGACACTGGATAGTCGAACAACATACGCTTATTTGGATGTAAGTATGAGAGAAAACATAACTTGTTTTACCTGATACATCTGAAACACATTTCTAAACCTATTTTGAAAATCAGTATTTTCACACCTAATATAAATTATTCATGCATTTTTTACTTTTATGTGTATTTGCAGCACCACTCCCCATATGATGTCGTGGCCTGGCATGGGAATTATGTTCCTTATAAATATAATTTATCCAACTTCATGACCATAAATACCGTTTCGTTTGATCATGCTGTAAGTAAACGTATACAAATCAGTAACCCTTTTTGTCTTTCTGTATAATAGATTAAGAACTGACTATAGCAAGCCTAATAAAGCTAGTCATTAAAGAAAAAATATTAACATTTCGTAAGAGTATACCTTATCCATTTTAATTATATAAACTAAAATTAGGCATGTTTACATTTTAGGCTTGGAATTTAAATTTAAATTCTTCAAGTTGAAGTTCAATGTCCTAGATTACTGATATTGCCGAAACATTTATAAAAAAGTATAACAAACATAGACAAGAAAGTTACAAGTTTACGATAATACGTATATTCATTCACACCTGTCCCTAGTGGGACAGCGGTAAGTCTACGGACTTACAAGGCTAAAAATTGGGACTCTATTCCACACGGTGGACATAGTAGATAGTGCAATGTAGCTTTGATTTCAAACAAAACTTGTACATTCATACCTGTAGAACTCGTACTATCCTTTCCCATTTTTGATAAATCAATAATTCGCGGACTGATGTTGATAGGACCTTTTAATTATAAATTTCACGGATGGCATGAAATAGTACACCCATTATGGTCCCATTCTAATACTTTTTGTATGTTGAATGAAGATGGCGAAACACGAACCCGTATACTGCAACAAATGTATTTAAAAATCACAATAAAACTGTTTCTTACAAAAAATAACTTATTTCTAACTAGCATTAAATAAGGTTTCAGGGTTTGGTAATTAGGGCTTTCAACTCACAATTCTCTGTTCAAGGATTCGAATCCCTTTACAGAACTCTTTCAGCCATAGGGACGTTATATTGTGACGGTTAATCTCACGTTTCGTTGGTAAAAGAGTAGCCCAAGAGCTGGCAGTGTGTTGATTAGCTGTCTTCCTTCAGTACATCACTTCTAAATTAGGGAAAGCTAGTGTAGATAGCTTTCGCGAAATTGAATAAAAAACTTTCCACCAAATACATGCATGATATCAACACATTTATGAAGCACTCGTTTGTTTCATCGTCATGGAAATATGGAGAAATTAGATTTTTGAGACAGTTTTGCATTTACTTTGGGAGTGTATCATAAATGTTCACGTATTATTTCATTTCTAGGATCCTTCCATTTTTACTGTTTTGACGTGTTCGTCAGTAAAAACTGGAGTAGCTATCGCTGACTTCGTTATTTTTCCTCCAAGGTGGTCAGTAGCAGAAAACACTTTTCGTCCACCATACTATCATCGTAAGTGAGAAACAGTGACTTTGTTAATCTTTATAAAATGAAATTGTTGATATTAAAATACATACAAGGAATTATGTGATATTCTCTAAATAAGTAAGTAAAAGAAATATCCCGTATAATTGTTTTTACATGAGTTAATAGGGATTTACGTAATAATTGTTTCTACATGAGTTGATAGGGATTTACGTAATTTTCTTTAATTTTTTATATGTTTAACATTTATTTTGTGTTTTTGTTGCAAAAACAATTAAAAGCGTGAATGTTTTACATGGGACTGCAACATAAATGAAACATTTAAAATATAGTTGGAGAAAAATATATATTGGTATTGTTTTTGCTTGAAACTATTTACTTTCCGACAGGTTTAGACTCCTACAGAAAATAGTGAATGGATTAATATAAGGTTACCCAACAAGGAGGTAAAATAACAGTTGTTTTGTTTGTAGTTTAGCACAAAGTTACACAATGGATTATATATGTTCTGCTTACCATATGAAACCCAATTTACAGCGTAATAAGTCCTAAGAAATACTGCTGTACCCATGTGGAGCTCCTAACATTGTAGCTTCCTTATCTGATTTCTAAGTTTTATATGGTCTCAAAAGCTATATTCCGTGATTTCACGATTTACAAACTTTTCTCTAAAATGAACAGAAAATGAAGCACGTTTTAAGTAAATTCCTCAATAACTAGTCCTTTAGTCATGGGACTAAAATAATTTACTTTTTAAAACTAGTTTTTGATATTCAGGTCCACTAATTATCAACGGAAAAGCCAAAAGTGGCCGCAAAATTCTGGTTCAGGCGGGAAGCAAAAACTAAACTGAATACAGACAGTAAAGTAAAACACATGAATACAAATGTATTTTGAAAAACAAAGTGCTTTATTGTCAACACAGTGTCTTGTTAACAAAACTGGCCAGGATTTCCACATGATTATCGTCTGGCAGCTAGGGTTGAAGAGAGTTGAAAGACAGCTTCAAGAGGCTAACATCAGGAGCACAATGACGAAAGAGAACTGTGAAATTCCCGACTAATAGATCCTAACAACAGCAACAAAAACAAACAAACCTAAGTAAGATATTCCATGAGTCCAAGGTTACATTCTTACAGCAAGCTGGAAGTACAGGTTTCTATATTGGCTGTTTCAGTAAGCTACCTTCCTAGAAGTCCATACATAAACGCATACGTGCGAGCTTTAGGCTTATGTCCAATAAACACAAGTGACATATGAGCAAAGGTTAACACATAGCTGTCAAGAACAAATCATTAGAATATGTTTACGACCTTGAGACATCCGGTCAACAAGAATATCATATTTCTATGTCGAAACTGCATGGAAATGAAAAAAAAAAGTTACTTGAATATAACTGAATAAATATATATTCTAATAAAGTTTAGAGATGGCTTGAATGGGTAGTGAAGAAAACTATATTCACACATTTAAAACAGTAACAAATGTAACTTCTCGCATAACTGGTTTTGTCCAATAAACACAGTTTACAGTTATGTACTCAAATATAGAAAACAAATAGACAATATATCTATAATTGTATGCACATATACTTCCAATTCTGATATTTCGTAATCTAAAGTACTATGGTCTATAATAAAATGTTTGCGTATCTAATGACTAATTGAAAATGATGGATGGAACTAATAACCTTTGAGGTTATCTAGCTAAATTTACCACTCTTGTTTTTTCATCTTGTGTATTTTATGCTTTGTATATTGCAGGTAACTGCATGAGCGAGTTTATGGGCTTGATTTATGGTTCTTACGAAGCAAAGGTCTGAATTTTGGTTTTGTTCAAGTTTTGAATGTTTAATTTTTTTTAACCTAAGAAGAGTAATAAATTATGACAAGTAATATATTAACTTAAACAACGTTACTTGTCGGTATAGCAAGTAAATACTAGATTAAGATCTTTTGGTTAAAACGCAATCTATGTTTTCTTCTACTACAGCTACTTATTTTTATTATTTTTGAGAATTTGAAAATATGAGGTTTTAGGTGTTTGTAATGTTTTAATTAATATTAAGTGTACCAACTACATAAAGATTTTTTCCCCAGGAAAATGGGTTCGAACCAGGTGGAGCCACTTTACACAGCATAATGACACCTCATGGTCCAGATAGTGACTGTTTTGATAAAGCATCAAATGCAAAACTGGTTCCTGAAAGGGTAGCAGAAGGAACCATGGTAAGCTAATTTGTAAATGGGACAATTAATTTTACGCAATTAATTAATTTTTGTTGAGAATAAAAAAGTTATCATATCTAGAAGAAAAAAAATTAAAAGCCTTATTTACATATATTACCTTATTATCACTGTGTCACAATGTTTTCAGCAGAATACAGATATGTCTTCTGGCAGAGAAAATATTGTCATGGACATAATTGGTTTTGAAGAACAATTACTTTTTATTTTATAAAACATGAGCACCATTTGGCTTTTGTTTAAAAATATTCTACTGTTTCTTGTTTTAATACCTAGTCAAACGTATGTTTAGTCGCTGGAGTAGTTGATAACTGGCTGTTGTAATTGTAAAGGTGCATGTAATTAGTAAACATAATGATATGTGTTGTATAAGTGTAATAGTCTATGGTGGGTGTTCAGCTTCAATCACTGAAACAATATATTGCGCACACAGTAACCACGTTTGATAGATTAACAAGTTGAAATTGTTATTATTTCAAATGTCCGTAGAATAATTTTGTAAATTTTTACACAATATATCACTGTATTGGTATCATATATTTTAAACATTCCAGGCATTCATGTTTGAATCATGTCTGAGTATGGCTGTAACTAGCTGGGCGAGTAAGATGTCTGAAAAACTTGACGAAAATTACTTCAAGTGTTGGCAAAATCTAAAGAAACGTTTTAATCCTAAGCAAGTGCTTCACAAGTAAGTGTGTTTATCTTACAGAGAAAGAAATATGATAAAAAATTATTCAAGGTATTAATTTTAGCTGGTTTTTAAACCATCTATTCTTTAATTCTATAGTTGATGACTTGGTTAATTTACAATATACTTTACAGAATGGCATCGCTGCTTAGGTAATTTAGTTAAATGAACTAATAACTTGCTGTATAACAGTTTGTATGAATTCTGCGTAGTAAAACGAGCTATCGAACCGTACGCACTGATTGACTGGTAGTTACAATGTCAAAAGGGTGAAAGCACAGATTTATACTATACGGTTCTATACAACTTTAATTGGTGAGAGGGTCTCAGATGAGTTTTATATAGAACTACCAGAAGGCTTGCGATTAGAGGAGCAAAATAATTTGATATAGTATCACCAGAAGACCTAACATGAATATGTCATAATTAAATTATGAATGGTTATTTGACGTAGAGTTACAGTTATATAATTTACTCTATAATGTTTAATATTAAACAAGCATAATACTTTTTTTAACTTTATAATGACAAGTAGGGATCGATATATACGTAACCTAGCTAGCTATAGTAATATAAAAAGTTTTAATGCTACAAAAAAGTATTGAAATAAGAAATTCAGAACTACAAAAACTCAGAAGTTACTTAATATTAAAAAATCGTATCCCTACTTTGGCAATTCATTCTAATTCTACTAGTCTGAGCAAAAGTAAGGATAAAATGTTTTACATTTTAAGTAACTCAGTTTTGTAGTTTTGACTTTCTTGTTTCAATACTTTTTGTTTCATTAAAACTTTTTATATATTACTATAGCTAGCTAGGTTACATATATATCGATCCTTACTTGTCTTTATAACATTTAATGATTTTAGTCTACTTGTTTGTTTCCTTTTTAGTAACTACATTTTTGTGCTCCAGCAATACCAAGCGTAGGGCGCGCATATATCCGATTCGGTTTTATTGCTCATCAAGATTTTTACCAACCTACCTTCAAATCTAATTAAATGCCCAAAGTAGCGATCGTCCGTTTTATATTTTTCGGTGCAACAAAGGAATCATTGGAACCTCAGATGAAAGAGTTCCGTGAAAAAATTAGAGCGATAAGGTTCGTCATTTTTTCTGTAGGCTTGTCTGGAAAAGTCACTTACTTACTTAGATGAAAATCGGTTGGAATGATGAAATTTTGATTCACTCCATAAACACGTATATAGCGTATTAGGCGGTTTTATAAGTACAAGAAGTTTTAGTTTTTCTAAGCCAATACTGTGAACTAGTCATTGTTAATATTCAGAAATTTTAAAGGCGGTTTTAAATGGGTGATTTTTATGGTCGCCATTTTGTTTCATCACGATCCCTACTATTAAGTACTACAATAATAAAGCATATGAGAAGAGATTATAGTTACATAGGCCAGTTAATAAAAAATAAGTTTATAACTGTTTATTGCATTAACAGGGAATGACTTATCACTGTACATGATTAAAATATTATAATTTGAGTAATAAAAGTTCTTTACTAACAAAGCGAGCATAAACGCCATAATGACTGCAATTATTGGTCATAATTCTTAACATAATGACCTGAAGCTATGCAGACTCCTTATCAAGAATTCCAGATGCTTAAGTTATTGCAAAGGGAAGAATATTTACTGTATTAAAGTTATATATATATGTGTGTGTGTGTGTGTGTGACGTGGATTACAAAACAACTTATGTTTCGTCCTTTCATTTTACTTATTGAAAAGAAGTACTCTTACACACAGAATGCGCCAGAAAAATGCCCTTTGACTATATCATACATCAGGAAGTATTACATCTAAACTACACAAAAATAACATCTAGTAAAACAATTTTACTCTTCAAAACATACCTTTAAGATTTTATAAGGATACAATGTTTAAGTTCTGTATAAAAAAAATTTGTTTTATACCCTTAGTTTATCAAAAAATATGTTATAGGACAAGATATGTAAACCCCATTCAGGGATAAGTAAAACATCTTTAAGGTAGTACAGTTTTAAATCCTTATTCAAAGGTATTACATATATAAATACTTATTTAGAGGCAAATAGAATGTTTTTTTGTTATGAACATTTTAAGGTATAGCATTATTTAATCTTTAAATACGAGGATGAGTTTTCCTACATAATAGTAATATTTAAATTCACTGACAGCTTACAGTAAATAATTGGAAAATTTTATATTAGAATAAATACAACGTTTCGACCACTAGTGCAATCATTTGCAAGTACAAGCATAGAACGATTAAATTGAATATTGGTACAATACTAATAGCGAAATAGATAAGGGAAGTGTGAATGAGTGTCAGGGTTTTAAATATGAGTGAGCTGGGATTCTTCTATGGCAGGTGTCTGTAGCATGTTGGCGATAAATTTTAACAGTAAATGACAGCACACAATCCACTTGTTTTAAGATAACATATGTTCAAAACAAGTCAAACGTATGTACAAAATATCTTTACACTATTTTAAATAACCTAAATTATCTAAACCTCTAAATAATTTTATTTTCTTGTCAAAAGTCCACACAGGCTGATTCCATCACTTTAGAATCCAATTGAAAAGACGAATTATTTTTCTGTACTCTTATTACAATAGTATCAATGAATAATTCACTTACATTACCCTGTGGGTTACCACAGTTGTATCCTGAACTTTAAATAATTGTCTCCTTTTCGTCAAAGTCTACACAGGCGGGTTCAATTACCATAGAATACCCTTTGACAAGACAAATTATTTCCCTTATCTCTGTTAAACCGTGAAACTCACTTTGAAATATCACCCAATAGGGTTAATCACTCACATGCCTGCTAACTTCACGTTATATATATATACACACATATATATATATTGCCCAACTGAGGCCTGGAACTTTCTAAAAACTAGGAGATGCTATGATGTAACAATAATTTATAGATAAACTTAGAGGTTTCGAGAAGATGAAGTTAACAATACACAACAATTGAACTAAACACACAACATACATGACGAAATTTTTTATAATCACTTTAAAATAATTAACTTTAATACTCTTGTTGTGAAAACTAAATAATCATTAAGAATTAGATCACTAAATGAACTAAATAATAATTCTTACACAAAACAGTTTTGTCTATCCAACATTATGTAAAATTAAAAGTGAAAAACATGCCATCTTTAAACGATTCGTGAAAAATAATATACTACGATGATAATGATAAACTTAATACAAGAGATGTAGTTATTGTTTTACACAAAGATGTGATAAATGATATTGTAATTCAACTTACAGAAGCCAAAAGAAAGCTAAAGAAATTTTCCTGGATGTTTATCAATTTTGGGGTCATTTGTTTCCCTGACGATACACACACCTCTTCACAGAATTCAAATATCTTCTCCGTGCGTCTGCTTTAGAGATTTGCATGTCACTAGCCTTTAGGCAACTCCCACCTAATATCACGAGATTTTTCGTGAATTACGCTACTATATAATAACATTATTATGCAGCAAAAGCTTCCACCAACAGGAGGGCGACACACCTCTTTGTGCAATAACTCCCTCTGTGCCTTTACAATCGTGAAACTTCAGATTGAATACATCAGAAGTGTTTTTCTTTTCGAATTTAATGAAATTTGCGATTTTAAGAAACTTAATTTCCTTCTTTTTTTCTAGAAACAATTAACTCACTAATTATTGTATCATCTTCTACTACTTATATGAGTAAATAATTTTTTCGCTCAGTTTATGTATCAATTGTGGCTTATGTAAGCACACTGACTGGGGATGACGTGATGGCTACTGTGCATAGAGCAATGGTTTCCCTTATGCAGCCAGGACCTTCAGCTCCAGTCCCTTCTTAAGTTGTTCCTTCTCCTCATTTAGAGGGGAAAGAGTAGGGTGAATTTGATTGTTTACACCTTGTGGTTATGCTTTGGGAACTTCTATCCTTGTTGAAGAGAAACTTTAAACTTTCTCTCATTATGAGAACTTAATTTCACAGATATGAACCATTCCTTATCTTTCATCTGTGTTTTTATTATTTTGGCTCACTACTTCTTAATCGTAACCTGACTAATTTATTTTACCATTTCCTTGATCAGTTATGTTTCTGCAACCCCAAGCCTCGCTCTTCTTGCTTATCTGATTCTTATATCCTCACTTTTAGTTATACTCATAATGCACCAGAGGTTTACCGTTTTGTGTTGAGAGACCATGGCTACACTGAAACTACTACTCACTTTGAGTTTTGCACATGCACTTCTTCTGTTGGTCCTAGAACAACTATAGGAACTGTTCAGAGAAACATTTGACCTCAATGGCTCACGTGTCTCCTCCTCTACCAATCTAATATCACCATTGGTGTTCTATTACCTCTACCCATGCCGGACCTGCACCTCTGCACTGATGCTTTCCTACTAGTTTGGGAGCATCTTTGAATGATAGTTTTGCATCTGGCATATAGACCCAGGATAAGTCATTTTTATATATATCAATGCACTCGAACTTCTTGTAGTCCATTGGACATGCTCTCATTCCTTATCTCTTCTAGTGGATCATTCCATTATGATCCATTCCAACAACTCATTAGTTTTCCTAAATCACTTGCCAAAGGGAACCTGATCCAGGATCCCTTGCTTTCAAACTCTGAATTTTTCTTATTGAGCCAATTTTCAACAGGTATGCATAATTACCTGCTATGTACCAGGCACTATGATCCTGGTTGTGGACCACCTCTCTGGCCTGGACTGTATTATGTCCAAAGAATGGTCTGTTCACCCCCAGATTTTCTATTGGGTATACTCTGTCTTGGGGAATTTACTCATCGATACCTTGCCACCCCTCATTTCCAAGATTCATCTCTTCTGATCACCTGTTACCCACCTCTACATTTTTCATCTTGGGTCCTGTCCTTGATTCGAGACACTCCTTGTGGTGCCCTCTTCTAAGCCATCTTACAACCAAACTCTCCCTTCTCCTGCCCACTGTCTCTTACTTCAACATCATAC